GGGCAAAAGATGCCTGAGATTGGGAGTCACATAATTGGCTTTGAAACCTTAGCCCTTGAGCTGTTCGATCAAAGTACCCTGTGTGCGTCGTCCTTGCTATGTGGGAGGGAAAAGGAATATCGAAACCCAGTCTTGAAACCCTCAGCGCTGCTTCTGAAGGGCGCGTATCAATGGGGATGCCCATGTTGTCTCATGTTATGATCTATCAAAAGCTTGCAGTTTGCCAGCGCGTGGGACTAATTTCTGTTGTTTTGAGGCTTCGCCCGAACAGGCTTGCAACATCGCAAGTACTTGGGGACTCAGCAGATAAACACATTCAGTGAAGCCCCTGCCGCGACTTCACTTTATGCGGCCATGCAGTGCCGCGACTTCTTGAACGCTGCCGCGACATAAGGCCACCCCTCGCACTACGATATAGTGCACTAGTGCTACTACTTTTGCTACGTTTACGACTACGACTTACAACAACGGCTACTGCTACAGCTGGGCCTACAGCAACAAGTGCAACTGCTACTCTTGCTGTTGCTGCTCCTCCTCCTCCTGCTCCTCTTCTTCCCCCTACTGCTACTACTACTACTACTACTAGTACTACTACTACTAAGTACTACTAAGTACTACTACTAAGTACTACTACTACTACTACTACTACTACTACTACTACTACTACTACTACTTCTACTTCTACTTCTACGGCTACTACCATGACTGTGACCCTGTCGAATTTGCGTGTTATAAGCCATTTTCTCGTCTTGCGACGCACGTATTTTGTTCGGGTGGTGCACCAGACACAATTCGTCGCAGCAACCACGAGGGCCTCGGTCTCTGGACGTGTCACTTCAAAGATTCATTCTGGTGGCATGAGAAGCATGAGTTGTTGTAGCAGTCGCAATATTTGCCGGTTCGGATTGTTTTTGCGACAAGCAAAGGCGGTTCGTTGAGCCGACCGTCATCCGGAGGCCTCGAAGGCCAGCAGTGCTGTTGGGCTGCGTGAGAGCAGTTTCACTTGGACGAGTTACTAGTCACTAGTTCTAGTGCTCAGGCTAGCCGCGCATGTTAAGGGACTTACGCGGCACCTTGACCTCTGAGCCTCTTGGTCGCACAGATGGCGGCCCTCTTCGTCTAGGACAACAGCCAAACCGAGAGGCGGCTGCGAAGTCAGCTCCGTCGATGCCCACGAGCCATGCAACCCGGAAGCAACCTATCCGGACAACCAACCAACCAAGCAAGTAAATGCACACACGACGTGCAGACAGACACAGACACTGACTGCAGCTAGCCAAGCAATGGACCAAGCAACCGTGCAACTCCAAAGGACCATCGAAAACCAAGGGCTTCACTCGCGAGCAGGGAGCTCCATGCTTCACCATGCTTCAAGCCAAGAGTAGATCAGAGCGCGTCAGCAAAGATCAGGACCTGGACTGCTGCAGAGCCCCACGGTACGAGCAGTCGGAGTTAAGTCCAGCATTCCGGTAACGACACCACACTGCCCTGCGATGGCAGAGGGTCGGCAGGACACGACAAAAAGTGACGACCTGGCCAACAAGTCGCCATCAGCGGAGGGAGTATGTGTTCATGCACCGTTGCGAAAGTTTGTGTGGGCTCGGGGTGATACCTTGAGTGCAGTGCCTTTGTGCATTCGGGTAGCACGTCCCCAGTGATGCAACGAGTCCTATCTGTGCAGGTCCTGAGGATGGATAGTCATCATCAATATGCAACCTGGCACCTCCGATTCGAGGGAAGGTTGCTACTCCTGGCTCTTCATACCGAGTTTCTGGCAGTTTTCAGAAGGAGACCTTTGTGGAAGTTTGTTGTCATGGTTTCCCAACTCCGGAAGACTCACACTCCAAGGCCTGACTCCAAGACCTTCGCAATGCAGAGACGCCCATCAAGGTCGCTCCCACCCGGGCTTGTTTTGCGCATACAAAGCGTGGACAGGTTTGTCGCATTTGCGTTTGTTTGTGTGTGTGTGTGTTGTGTGTGGCATGTATGTGTGCATGTATGGGATGGGGCCACACCTATTGCATGGTCCATGCAGAGCGTATAGTATCAAGGAGCTTCACGCCATATCCCAGGATAGAAGAAGAGGAGGCTGTTGCCATGTACCTGCAGAAAGGGGTGAGCGCCCCTGTGGCAGCCAGATTAGACGGCGGGCCCCGTGTGACACCGAGATCATTGGTTTTCATTTTCGATACGCTGCTGCCCGAGCCTTTTATTTGTGGAAGCCATCGCAGCAGCAGGTTTTCACATCAGGTATGATTTCCGTCCGGATGACATTGACAGCAGGATGGCAAGAGCTCTGCCATAGGTCTAATTCAACATGGCTCAACAAGCTAAACTGCGATGCCTTGGTTGGAAGCATGGATGTCAGGTGCATGGGTGCCCCTTCGTGTGTATGTCAGGTGAGTGTGAGTTCGTGTGTTTTTTGCGTGCATATGAGTGGTAGAATGCACACAGACACACACGTAAATACGCGTCAGATGCCATCAGATTGAACCTGTTTCAAACTGATGTTCGTGTGTTTGCTTCTGCCTGAAGGTCTCCTGGGTGGAGTCGTCATCTCGGACTTGGCGGCACCCATGGGCTCACGGAGAGCAGCTCCGACATCATCGAGATGTTTCACCACAGACTCTAAGACCCCAATCCCGAAAGCACGGAAACTCGAAGCCTCAACAGAAAACCCGACGATTGAACGGTTAGTCACAAACGCAGGAAGGACCAGCTCTTGCGCAGCCAGGCGCGGACCTTCTTTGAATGAAGGTTTCATAGTCCGAACTTCGGCTCCGAATGCTTCCTTAATTCAAAGTGTTCCCCTCATTATGCGGATACCTCTGAAATCATGATCACAAGACGTTGCTAATTCAAGACATCTGTCATCATGGACGGGTTGGCCACTGGGGAGGCATTCGCGCCAGGTGCGACGGAATTTATTGCAACAGCCAGGGTGGCCCGCGGCAAAACTGATCTAGGTGAGCAGGTGCTGACTGGAAATGCGAGGCTGTTTTGAATCGACCACGTCCGACTCCAACTCTGAAGGACGTAGTTTGCTGGCAGGACTTGCTCAAGATCAACCTACATGAAGCGGGGTGTACATGAGGGTTCGTTGAGTTTACATAGGACTCCTGAACGTGGGTGGGCGTGCCCTTGACTTGAGGGGTCCGTTCGAGGACTGTAGTGATGCTTAACATTTCGCTTGATCTTGCATGCGCTTACGTCGGATCCTTGATGCGTACTGGTGTGTCGTTGGCTTTGGTGGATGCGCTTTCTGCTACGACTGCGGAGGATGGCCTGATCGGCTCGTCAGGAAATTTGGAGATTCGGTGATCCCAGCCAGGAAGCTGTTGAAAGTGGAGAGAAGTTTGGAGGAGCTTCATCTCCCACGGCCCCGCAGAAATTCCAGCCGTGGACTGTTTCTGGTGCTGGACCTTCGTGGAGCGCGAACGGGGCAAGAGATGCAAGGTGTGATTCGGGCTTGGGCCGAGCTGTCAGCACATTCGCTGCTGGCCTTGCGTGTCTCGAATCCCACCTCGGATGTGCTAGAGCTCTTGCGCCGCTTCTTTTTCGCCACGCAGCAGAGACATTGGTACAAGAAACCGGGTCCTATGCCTGCCATCAGCAATGCAGACGAAGTTAGCTGCGACCCTTGCGGCTGCCTTGCCCAGAAAGCCATTTCTGCAGACTTGCACCCGCAGGACTATCACAATGCAGCCACCAACTACTTAAGATGGGAAGGGCGAGTCAGAGGACAGCACCCTTTTTTTTCTGAAGCCCTCAAGTATCAGACGGACAAGGTGACTTATCACCGCTATGAGCTGTTCTACCACCGGACGCTGCCCAGGCAGTTGGATCATGATGGTGGTGCCGGATGCTTTCTGGAGATTGGCTTTGGCTGCGATGCATTCGTTCGGGGCGTTGCGCTCTCTGCGGGTGTTTGGCCGGTCGTTTTTCCCGGTGCCAAAGTGCACATTCTGGAAATCGCCGGGCCCTGCGTTCAGAATCTGTCGACCTGGCTTCAGAAGCAGAACTACAGCGTTCACATAGTGGATGCGGGTGCGGTGCTGGAGCTGGAGCGGTTGAAACATGATGTTTTTCAGCGAGGGTGCCCGCAGGGGTTACTCAGTGTGGTCGTGGACGACGGTTCACACAACAGCTCCGACCTTGTGACCACCTTCCTGAGCTTGTATCCCTCCTTGAAGCCCGGAGGCCAATACTACATGGAGGATCTTGGCCTCACCTCCTACAACGTTTATGACTCCCTCGAACCTATGACGACCAAAGGGCAAGAACGGCCAGGCACGGCCTTCTTTTTCGTTACTTCCCTTCTCCGCGGCCTCTTCACCAAGATGCCCCCGTCCTACGCTCCGTTCCAGGATGTGGGGCTCCTCCGCTGCTGGCTCAACATTTGCCTTGTCGAGAAATCATCCCCGTGCAACAGTTTTTGAGAGATCTATTGAAATTGCTGGATATGAGCAAAAACGTGCTGGATTTGATGGTGCCTGAGCCTACGTCCTGGACAGACGTGATTGAGGTTTCATGACGGGGAAGGGTGTTTTGGATAATCGAAGTAGTTGGAGGCTGATGTTATGAATGCGGTTGTCGACGGTAATATCCACATGAAGAATTGTGGTACTGTTGGCGATGATGCTGATAGCGGTGCTGGAGACAACGATGCAGTTGGGCAGGCAAGAGTGAACAGCATCCGCTGCAGCCGTATTTGCATCATGTACTGGGTTACTGTCATAATTCGCTCACACCGTGCAGTGCATCGAGCATGTAGATATATGTAGGTTATCCTCTGCAGAAAGAGTTTACTTGCTGTTGGCGCAAGTCATTGAAAGGTTGTATTACGCCATGTTACAGCATCAAGTGAGGTGAACTCCCATCAACACCTGTAAGCTGAGTGGAGGGAGTCCACAAGGCCATTCGTGACGCGCGGGAGGCTTAGTCGGAGGCAGGCTGACATTTCAGTCTAGTCACCAGTTGGCCTCCAATGGTTCTTGGCCATGACAAGCGGACACCTTCCTGCTCTTTGGCAAGCTTGATAGAGACGGTAGACATAGAGCGAGAGGGGCAGCAAGAGAGCGAGTGAGCGAGAAGGATTTTGGTCAACACGCCACAGCACGAGAGCACCATCCCGGAGTTGAGTAAACCAGGGAACAGAGAAGGGAGCACAAAACAAGCGCAAATACAGTGAGAGCAACTCGGCAGCTACGATTTTAACGACAACAACAATCAAACACAACTACTGGAAAGATGTCGAGTCGGACTCGAAGCGTCGTCAGTAGCTGGCCTCAATGGAAAGCGTAGACTAGGCTTCGGTGGTTCTCAGCCAGCGGCCACGGACAAACATCTACGAGCTGCCTGATGCATCTCGAGATGTCCTAGGCGCGATCAGCAAGTGCTTTTGGATTTGAAGAGGTTGCACTGGCATTTGAGGCGGAGTGCTTGAACAGCTATGGCAACTGTTTGGGATGAAGGTCCAGGGCTTGCAGCATAGGTTTGTGTTGGATTTTTCCTTTCTGCAGCGATGCTAGCGGCAGGTGAGTACATTGCCACTGTGGCCACACCAGTGCCAGAGGCTACGAGGCAATCAATGCAGTACTACCAGGTGCCGAGACCCCACGGGCTTGACCGTACGCGTGCCAGGCAGTTTTTTTGCGGATTGGCGATCTAACTTCTATTTTCGTGCCCAATCAATCCCACTTCGTACACAGGATTGTGGCTTGTGGCTTCGATATCCAGGAGTATGTAAGAGGACTCTGGCTTGGATGCAGCTTTGATTAGCAGGAGAGCCTGATTCTCAAGTTCTGGGCACTTACGGCTTCGGGGCTGGAGAACAACCATCTCAACCACGAGTGGTGCACAAATCCCGAATATCGTCAATATGGGCGATTGCTCGAGAGACCACCCATAAAAGCACAACCAACGAGAAAGAGCATGTTCCTCGACACTGTCCCAAACAGCCCCAAGATTCCAAGGTATTCAAACGATCGTTTCTCGAGAAAGTCGCAGAAACCAAATCCAGAAAGCCCGAAATGGGCACAAATCTCGAGACAGTGCGACAACACGAAAACAAAGCACCAACAACGTAAAATGAGAATACTCCTAGGGACCGCCCCACTGAAGCAAACAAAAGTAGTCCAAGGCCTTCATTCCATGTCTCGAACAACAAATGCCTGAAACCAAGAGGAGACCACCAATGTGATCTGCCCGAAAGACTGGCAGATCGTGGACAAGTCCAAATGCTTTCCCCTAGCTTCCCAGCTACGGGCGGGATTAAGAAGGATTCGGGAGCGCGGGGCCAGGATGCCGAGCGGATCCACGTGGGATTCAGTTCCATGTTTCGAAGTCCAGAAATTGGAGTTTGCAAAACCCGGCGCTCCTGAAAGCGGTAGCATGTCGGATCCTCTGCGAGTACTGAGACACGAGTGCGAAATTTGCACGACACCACAGCAGGAGCCGCCCCGCCGCACGGATCCTGTAAACTTGCACCGCGCCACAGCTGGAGCCTGTCGTGGGGGAGCCTTATGGGGCGTGCACATGCGTGCGGATACCCAGACGAGAGAATTCTCTTTACGCCGGACGTAAGAACCCCATCTTGTTGGCAAAATGCCAACACGATTAGATGGTCTGCGTAAGGCAAGGCCGTTTCTCGAGACAGATAAAAAAAGGCCTGACAGCCAAGTTGAGCCACCAACCCAAAACGAGCGTATGCCTCCACACGCCACGCACAAAATGCCAACGATTCCAAGGTGTTCAAGGGGCCATGTGTCGAGAAAATTTCGCGAGAAAGGCAAGACCGGAAACCTCGTGGCAACGTGGCCACACACCAGCAAAACACACGCCATGGCCTTTTGAATGCCAGCGAATGTTTGGTCTTTTTGCTGAAGAGGGTCTCCGAGAAATGGCTCAAGATAGGAATCATTGAAAATTTTGGTTTTTCATGGTCTCGAGCAATAATTCTGTTAATTTTGTGGTTGTGGTGATCGCCTGTCTTGTTGCTTGGACCGTCTCGAGAAGTGGTTGTTGAAGGCGTTGGAAGTGTTGTTTCATTTGTTTTTGTTTGGGGTCTCGGGACTGGTTCGAAGCAAATGCTCATTTCGCATTTCTGGCTTTGCTTTTGTTTTTTGTCTTCTCTCGAGGAATGTGTAACTTCATTTTTGTAGGTGAAGATTGAAAATCTCTTTTTTTGTTGAACCATCCACTCAGGCTGCCCATGCTCGATTTCCAACCGTCCCTGCCCACTAACAACACTCACACGCACCTCCACGGCAAAAGGCTTTTTGTGCACACTTCTAAGGCTGAGGTATGTCTCCATGACAGACGCAGTCACGAATGCGCCTTTGGCTGCGCATGCACATACGGATTAGTATACGGACACACGGACATGCCGTACGCGGGCGAGCAGGAGTGCGCCAACTCTAAGATACCCCAACCTCATTCTCTACCAAAAGGCTGTTGAGTTCTTGGCTGCTGGTGAAGAACCGAAAGCTTGGTCGAATC